CTTTGCAATTCTTTATCCAATTTTTTTTTCCCAAACGAACATAAAGCTCTTAATCATTAAAATGTAATAATCTTCAGGAAAAAGAAGGGCAAAATGGCTAGATTGGTATATTTTCTAGGGTCTTGGTGACAAGTTGGTATATTTTTTTTAAGTTTTGTCATATTGGTATAAAATTTCAACTCCGGCGCCATATAGGCCTTAAGTTTGGCCGGAGTCAATTTTCCGGCCATTATTCTCACGCGACAGCTCACGTGACTCCGACGTGGCCTTTACGTGGATTCCAGCGTGGCGATATTTAGCGGGAATAAGTGAGCGGTTTGCCTAGAAAATCGCAGAAGAGCAGTAATTCAATCCCATTCTTTAATTTCCCTCTCTTCCCCAATTACAGAAGAAAATCGTAGAACCCTAGAGCGTAACGATCCCCAAATTACAGACGATCGAAGTTCAAGGCTTCCATCTACTTCATCTTCTTTGGCGCGGAGCAAAAGGTGAGTGGAAATTTCATATTTTTGAAACTAATACATGGAAATTTGACGGGTTTATTGTAAATTAGGGTTTTTTTTGATGGGTTTAGTGAGGAGTTAGGGTTTTTATTGTGATATTGCAGATGAGTCTCCAAATATTGGTTAAAATCAGACATGGAGGAAGTTTTCCGATGGGCTGGGTTGAAGATTATGTTGGTGGTAGATTTGATGTTAGGTTTATAGACAAAGAGGATCTGAGCATAGAAAGACTGATGGATGAAATTAGTGCAATTGGGTATAACAATGTCAACGGCTTGTTCTACTGTGTTCCTGGTGTAGGGGTTGCAAATGGTGGATTGAGGTCTCTAAATGATGAAGGTTCCTTAATTGAAATGAAAGAAAAAAGGATTATTAAGTTTATTTTGTTATTCTGTATGTTTACACTCTGTTTAATTCTGTATGTTATAATGTGAAGATGGTTGTAATGTGAAAGTGGATGCTGATGTGAATAAAGCACAGTATTTTGACAGATTGGTAAATTGAACTCCTAATGTGTGTTGTTGATTGTGCATGAATAAATGAACTTTCTTGATTGTTATAGACAGGCATGAATGCACATGAACTGGTGCAATGACTTGTATAACCAAATGTACATGACCTGGTTCAATGACATGAATTCAATTGTACCTGTTGGACCCATATTGCACATGACCTGGTTCAATGATGTCAATAAAGGGATTGGCATGAAGTAGACATATAAACTTTAAACATGCCAAACAAATGAACATCCAGAATACCAAATGTATTAGGTAGAACATTGCTTGGAAACTACTGTGACACACAACAAAACACAAAATACCAAGTGCATGTAAGTTACAGGACTTTATCACATAACATAACACAAAATACTAAACAGAACTTTAACCAACTTTGTTCCCAAAATACAATAACCAGACAGTAACAACTTTGTGCCAAAATAACATTAACCATACATGAACAACTTTGTCCCAAAATATCTCAGAAGCTGGTTATCTACTGCAGTTAATTACACTCTCATTCCTGAGAGGGTGCAGTCTGTGAGGATGGAGCATTAGGTGTCAAATGTATCACACTTACTTGACTATCACCAGGTGCTCTAAATGCCATTTCTCCTTGTGGTCCTTGCCACAAACCAAACCCTTCTGGCATCCATAATTGACCAGCACCACCTCTCCCTCTACCTCTTCCTCTTCCTCTCCCTCTCCACCCCCCTCCTCTACCTCTTCCTGCCTCAGTGCTGGTTGTTGGAGCTTTGCTTCTTCTGCCAAGGATAATGGATGCTGGCGTTGGAGCATTGCTTGGAGGCAAGTCATCAACTCTTATTCTGTTCAGGCTTCCCTTTGGTCTCCCCTTTTTCCTCACTTGAGATGGTCCTTCATCAACTCTTGTTCCTTGTGATTCCTTCAAGATGGATCAGGTAAGGCTTAAGTTGTTTAATGAACACAAAATACAAGAGCTCCTTGTTTCAGCCTCCACAACAGCCCACACAATTGGCCACATCTGATTATTGCCGTCTCTCCCCACGGCACTTAACAATTGCCCACCACATGCATGTTTAAGAAAGCACCCATCAAGTCCAAATATAGGTCTACAATTGTTGGCGAACCCCCTTCTCATGGCTGAGAACACAGGAATGAATTCAGTATGGCCTAAAAAAACTGCACATACAAGCTTTGATAAAACTTCAAAATTTTCTAACAAACACATTTACTTTACCTGCAAAGCACACGTAGAATCTTTGAAAGACTCCTGATTCTGATGATTCACTTTGATCTGTGACCTTCAGAAGGCATGTACTTCCATCATTACTCCTTAAGAGCTCTCTCATGTATGGCTTTAACAAGCCATATTGCTTCTTAAACAAACCATCTACTGCATTCAAAGCCCTACTCTTTGCCCTTCTACATTTCCTTAAATCCACTATGATCTCATATTGTTTTTACTATGATCTCATATTGTTTTTGCATTTCTGCTTTCATGTCTCTGGGCTTGAACTTAGGATCCCTCAGAAAGTTGTCAATAAATTTTCCTGCAAGCCAACCTTCAGTGATTAGCCTATTCTTGAATGTCCTGACACAAGTATGATAAGGGTGCATACTGCTGATTTTCCAAGCACTAGCATCATCACGACATGGTGTAGCATTTAGCTGCCAATGACAGAGTGCACAATTCACATTCAACTGCCTCTTATCATTTTTTCCATAAACAATGTCATAGTGTTGTTGTATGGAGTAATTCAATATTGTTTCTTTTAATATTTCCCTTGACGCGAACTTCAATCCTACTGTCAATTTAACATTTTTCATGTCAACTTCTTCATTAAAAAATGGATACTTGACCTTTGATGCCCTTTTTTGTAAACTTTGGACAAGAGTTTCATCCTCATCACTTGCCATTATGGGACCTTCATCACCACTTGATCTAGGATCTGATTCATATCCACCATCATAATTTGTAAAAAATTCTGGCCATGACTGTTGTTGTGGTTCAGTGGTTGATGGCACAGGTTCATCAACTGTGTTGTCAGCTCTTGAATGCACTCCTTCATGGGGTGATGTTGGTATATTAGCATTAACCACTTGAGGGGGTCTGACAGTGTTAAATTGAAAGGAGTTACCTGCATCAACACCATCTCCCAGTTTGGCACCAGAGTTTAAAGCAATGTGGCCCATCTCTTGACTTAGATTCTCCTTATTGCATTGCCTAATCTCATTCAGTTCCTCGTCTTCACTACATATAGCAGCTTGAAAGGAATCATCACTGTGAGCACCGTGAACCTCATTCACTGCCTCCCTATCTTCCTGGCCTGGTTCAAGCACACTCTCATTGCCCTCCACATTCACTGGCTCCCTAGGTTCATTATTTGGTTCAGGCACACTATCATTGCCCTCCACATTCACTGTAGGCACTGTCATCCTCTTTCTTTTGCACATTCTTCTTTTTTCCCTTTGCCATTATTGCTAAACTCATCAAATAGTTCATCTTCATCAAAGTCATCATCTGCAAATGCCTCCCTAGGATCCATTCTGTAATTCTCATCCTCCACAGAGTCGTCACTATCACTAGATGGACTTGCCTGCTGTTGTGCACTACACTGATCATCTAAAGAGGCTGAAAATAATGCTTCTTGTTGTGGCAGGGTTTCACTGGAGGTTGACAACTTGGTTGCCCTCCTGGGTGTTAGTTTCTTCCTGGAGGTTGAAGGATATGTTACCTTCCTCTTGCATGTTGCTTTCTTGGGTGTTTGTTTCTCATTGGCACTAGCAGTGGCTCTCCTGGGTGTTGATCTCCTGGGTGTTGATCTCCTGGGTCCTGCTACTGTCACCTTCTCATTGGCACTAGCAGTGGCTCTCCTGGGTGTTGATCTCCTGGGTGTTGATCTCCTGGGTCCTGCTACTGTCACCTTCTCATTGGCACTAGCAGTGGCTCTCCTGGGTGTTGATCTCCTGGGTGTTGATCTCCTGGGTCCTGCTACTGTCACCTTCTTTTTAGGAGTGGTCGCTTTTGGCATTTGCATATCTTCTTGCACACCTTCCAACAACAGCACATCACAATCTTCCATAATAACTTCTGCAGGTTGATCAATGCCATGTTCAACATAGATTTCAATTGCCTTCACCCTTTCTGCATGTTCTAGCATTTCAATGAAGGAACATTCATCACTTAGAGACCTTAATCCACCATTTGCAACCCCTACACCAGGAACACAGTAGAACAAGCCGTTGACATTGTTATACCCAATTGCACTAATTTCATCCATCAGTCTTTCTATGCCCAGATCCTCTTTGTCTATAAACCTAACATCAAATCTACCACCAACATAATCTTCAACCCAGCCCATCGGAAAACTTCCTCCATGTCTGATTTTAAGCAATATTTGAAGACTCATCTGCAATATCACAATAAAAACCCTAACTCCTCACTAAACCCATCAAAAAAAACCCTAATTTACAATAAACCCGTCAAATTTCCATGTATTAGTTTCAAAAATATGAAATTTCCACTCACCTTTTGCTCCGCGCCAAAGAAGATGAAGTAGATGGAAGCCTTGAACTTCGATCGTCTGTAATTTGGGGATCGTTACGCTCTAGGGTTCTACGATTTTCTTCTGTAATTGGGGAAGAGAGGGAAATTAAAGAATGGGATTGAATTACTGCTCTTCTGCGATTTTCTAGGCAAACCGCTCACTTATTCCCGCTAAATATCGCCACGCTGGAATCCACGTAAAGGCCACGTCGGAGTCACGTGAGCTGTCGCGTGAGAATAATGGCCGGAAAATTGACTCCGGCCAAACTTAAGGCTTATATGGCGCCGGAGTTGAAATTTTATACCAATATGACAAAACTTAAAAAAAATATACCAACTTGTCACCAAAACCCTAGAAAATATACCAATCTGGCCATTTTGCCGAAAAAGAAGTGTTAATATTCTTACCCAAAAGTTAATTTATACAAAATTCTATCGTGTATAAGAGACATACATAACGCATTTACTGCTCTCGTTCTTTTTCTCGCCTCTTCGAAATCTCTTCACCAAACAAAAAGAAAACGAAAAAAAAAATCTTGAGGGATTTTGTCCTCTTTAGATTTGGATTTTCATTGGCTTTTCCAGGGATAACGCTGTCGGGATTTGGGCTACCTCTGCTGAGATTTTTCTCTCACATTGCGAGGTTCTTGCTGGGTCTTCCCTCGATTTCTTCGTCTGGATTCGATCCGAGGAGCTCAATTGGATGCATTTATGAGATGGGTTTCTTCCCTTGATGTTTCTTGATGCGTTATCTTTGATTATTTTAAGTTAGAACTCGAGTTTTGATTGGTTTGAGAGAAAAAAAATTTGTTGTTGAATTTGGTGGGTTTTTTTTGGTTTGAGCTGAAAGTTGCAGTTTTGGCTTTTGGGTCATCTCTTCCTTTAATTTTTGAAGGATTATTGGTATGCTAGTTGCCTGGGTTATGAGTGTTCGGAGTAATTATTTGGGTTTTTTTCCTCTCGAAGTAAATGAATTTTCCCACATTGTGGATTTTGCTTATTTGGTCAGTGTTACTTCTAATGATAAGGGAGTGTAAATGATTCTCCATTGGATTGAGTGCATTTGTAGGTTCATCTGACCATTATCAGAGCTTGTTCCAAATACCCAAAAATTCTTGTCTAAATGGATGAAAAGATTGAGAAGAAATCAACTGAATCAGGAAGTCTTTTTCGTAGTTTGATTCAGACACAAATCAAAGAAAATGTTAGTTCTGGTAATCACAATTTTTCTTCTCAATTGGAAGGAAAATCATTAAAAAATAAAGTTGATGCTAAAGAAGGAGGTACATTCTTTTCTAATGAGTATGTTAGGGACCATGGTTCTCTTTTGAGCTTGCATCCATGGATCTTTAAAAAGGAAGTTTATCAGGATGAGGAGAACATGATGAAAGTAAATGGAGATTTATGTGATAGGTGCAGTCATGAACTAAAAATGTCGACTTACTCCTTGCCAGCTGGGCTTTCTCTTAGGAATGTCAGTGTTGGTTACGGACAAGGAAGAGGTCGAAGCTCTCTGAAGAGCAGGCGATCTCATAGGCGCTCTGTCAAATCTGTAGCATCTCTTGGAAACTGCCTCATCCCTCAGCTTTACAACGAGCATTTTGAGTTGGAAGAATATTTTGTAAGTTCAATGCCATCTTCGACAGTGACAACCTTGAGGCCTCTCATCATAACCGATGGTAACAGAACAATTAGTAAATCAACTTATGATACTATGGGCATGCAATATGAGAGCGGATTGCTTAAGGAAGTTGATGGAATAGCTTCGCAACAAATGGAAACTGTGGTTGGTGTTCCTCCTCTTCCGAAATTTATCAGTTCAAAACAAACCAGCAGGGAGGCACAACATCGAAATTCTCCGAGAACATGTAAAGTCTCACATTCACAGGGTAAATTGCCTCCCATCTCTTTTTCTTCAGCATGATATTTTCCGATTTACAGTATTGAAATAACTCGGTCAAATATCAGGAAAATAACTGTAGCTTAAGACATATGCTGAACCTCTGGTTGTATACCAATCTCTAATTCTACGTCACTGTATTTAATATTTTTTTCCTCTATAATCACACATTTCCACAGATAAGAGTTAATGAGTGATAGCTTGTGTATTTTAGCTTGTGTATTTACTAGGGGCCTTTTGCCACTTGACGACAATGGTAACGTCACATAGGTCCTAATATTCAAGCTGCATACACTCACAATGATAGAAGGTTGTAAAATGTAACGAACACTCAGGCTTGTAGAGAACAAAGGTAAGAAAAGTAATTGACAGTTTTTCCTATTCGACCATTGAAATAATAGGCCAAAGGCTGCAATCAATCCTAGAAAATAACAGGAAGGAGACGCTAGGGCCACCTAATTCCTAAATGAGGAGGATGAAGCAACAACAAGGGAAAACACAGTCACAGAAAGCCTCCAACATTACCGGCAAGAGTCCAAAAATATTGATACCCAACCCAATACTGCTGTATAATCAGACTGACAAAACCTTAGCCAAATCTAGCTAAGTGAGCATTGTAGCAACCCAACTAGAGCCTCCAAGCTAATCAGATTTGGTGTTCTGTAAGTGTTATAAACTTAGAATGCCAAACCTGGGTCCATTAGGACAGCAAGGGTCAAGATCAAGCCAAATCTGAAAACCCAATTAATGGCAAACTCTTTTTCTCTCTTTCGCTGAGCTTAACATGTCTTTGCTTAGTTCCTTTGGTTGTCAGATCCTTTCTGGGGCTTTTTCCGACGCTGATTTGGAGAAGCCATTCAGTATGAAGCGGGGGCGGGGGGGGGGGGCGGGGGGGGGGATGGGATTCAATATAGTGGCCTCTTTCCTTGCGTGCAAGTTCAACTATCTTGGTTTATCTCTGGCTTTTTTAATCCTATCACTCAGAAAAACTTATATTCTCATATCTTCTTGACCACGAAGTCTTGATAATTTCTGAAAAGACTCTTTTTAAAATAAAATCTTGTTGAGAGAAGATCTATTCCATCTATCCTGACTAATGGTAGGGGATAACCATTACCACAGAAGTCTTTTATCCTTATATATTGTTGAAAATGATTTCTTGGTAGGTCACTCTCCTGCAAGGAAAGTTGTCAAGTCACTATATCCACGCTCTATAAGAAACTGTTGTGGCCATGTCAGATTACAATCACCATCAAAGCCATTTCTGATAAAAAAAAGGCTGGGCATCGAGACCTACGAGCACCACAAAGGATTTAAGCCAGTCCTTACCAATCTCAACCTGAATACAATTCTCTGTATTGATGCCAAATTCCTTTGTAGTGCAACTGTAAACAAGAACGACCCTTGATAAAGAATCTTGGATTCTTGAAAGCTAGTTGATATAGACAAACCTATTTTTTCTTAGGCATCATGCAGCTTAGCCTTATGCAATCAGGAACAACAACAACAACAACAACAAAGCCTTTATTGTTGTCCTTGATTGCATAAGGCTAAACTGCATGATGTCTAAGAAAAAAAATAGGTTAATCTACTGGTCAACTAGCCACCAAGAATCCAAGATTCTTTATCATGGGTTGCTTGTGCTTACTTGCGCTACAAAGGAATTTATCAATCAGATATCAACCCACCAAAATAATTTGCATCACGAAAGAGTTCAGATGGAAAAAGGTAATATATGAGATGATTTCTATAGGAAATTGCACTAGTCTCTATGGCACAACATGAACAAGGGAGTTAAATGCACACATTTTCATCTGTAAATTGTTCAGATAGAAACAGAAATGTAAACTGTTTATCTCTAATTGTGGAAAACTTACATGGACCTTTTCTTTTACAAGTTATTTTTCATCTTACAAGGAGCAAGAGGTATGAAAATAATGGCGGTTTCCAGTTATACAAGTTGAAGTTAGAATATAAATGTTGGCCAAATAAATCAATAGATGATCTTATTGCTATTTGAGATACTTGGGGAAGTGAAGAGCCCATTCTGAAAGATACATTTCCTACATGGAACGATTGTGGCTGTTAGAGTTTTACAGTTTTGATTATTTACTTGCTATTAGGGCTAGTTTTCAGTTTGATCCCTGACAACGCTTCCTGTAGTGGTAGCAGTTATTTTATATAACATGTTCTTTAAATTCAAACTTGTTGCATAAGTCTAAGGGTCATACTGTTATTTCCTTTACATGTTGTAGGATCTGATCCAATCACACTAAAACACTAGAGGGGGGTGAATAGTGTTTTTTTAAAAATTTATGCAAAGAAGATTATAATTTGCAAAGAAGATAGCACAATCACAAAAAATAACAATCGCAAACACAATATTTTATGCTGGTTCCACCTCTCAAGTGTACATCCAGTCCCCAAACAAATCTCGCTTGAGAGTACCACTATGATTTTGAAAAACTTACAAAACCAAAACAGCAAACCTGACCAATTTGCAAGTCCCTGTAAATTGCATCCAATCTCTTCACCAAGAGATTACACCTCTCACACCCGAGAGAATACTTTCCTTGAAGAAAGAACATAATTCCTATAAGCATTGAATGTGTAGTGATGTGTAGCAGTGGCTTTAGGAACTTTTTAATCTCTGGAAATTGCCTAAATAATTTGTATATAGGATGAAGACCAAAGGCTATTTCAGAAATTGATACTCAGGCAAAAATCTGAATTTTGAACTCTTGAGAATGCACAAATGTTAAAGCTTATGGATAGGAATCAATGTACCAAATTTCTGAACTTATAACCTATTTATATCCCTTGAAAATATAATTTTTTAAACCAAATAAACGAATATAAACGGCTATATACAGTTTCAAATTCAAATTCAGATATACAAAAGAACTATATCTGTAGTCGATTACAAGACATAGTAGTCGACTACTCTGTGTTAATTCTCATTCTGTAATGTCTGGAAAATTGCTTAGTAGTCGACTATAATGGTTATTAGTCGACTATTCTGTAAAACAGAAAGTCTGGAATTCAAAATTCAAAGCTGAGTAGTTGACTATAATTTTTAGTAGTCGACTACTCTGTAAAAGTAGATAATCTGGAATTCTAAATTGGATCATAGTAGTCGACTATAATGCCTAGTAGTCGACTAATCTGCATTTTTACAGAATCTAAGTTTTAATCTAAGTTTTTATCTAAGTCTTTATTAGTCGACTATAATCAGTTGTAGTCGACTACTCTGTAATATTTCAGAAACTTTTATTTTGATCTAAGACTTCAGTAGTCGACTACTAATCTAATTAGTCAACTATTAAGGGTTCAAAATGTTATGTATGAAATATTTTGAGACTCATTAATTGACTAAATACTCTAATGGTTAACATAGGGGATTTCTATTGTTAACCAACACATTAAGCCTGTGTTAATGTGTTCTAATCTCTATGTGTGTGTATGTGTGAGTAATCAAGGCTTGTACAATTTTTCTAAGTAAATAAAATGTAAAAATTACATTGATGTATAAGCTCTTCATCTTCTTTACTTCATGATGCCTTGAACTCATCTTGCACTTATTCATGTTGATAGCTGTATTGAAATGTTAGTGCACAATAATACACATAATGATTCATATTTCATATTATGAATAAATTGTTATCATCAAAATTATATCATGGGGACATGATATCCAACACATGCATGATTCACAATCTAGTTGGAAAATCACATTACTAGCTTCATTAGCAATTATCTCCATCTGAGGTTAGTACAGTTACATTTTAAATGGTAGCTTGCGGGTATACATAAATAGGATGTGGTTTAGGATGCATGATGCTAGCGATAGTCTTGTTCAGTTCCATCTGAATTTAATGATAGATAAAGAGGAAAATGGTTCTAGTTTTTCTTTACAATAATTAAGGAGATGAGGAAAAGATAAACTTCAGGAAAACAGTGTTCTCTAATCTCCATCTGACTAGTTGTATGGATGTAACTAAATGTGTAAATGGAAGCGTTAAAAAGTATGGTTGTCTAATTATGGTGGACTAAATAAATGTTTGTTGTTTGTAATTTTGTACGAGTTTTGCATTTTTGAAAAAATTAAGTATGAGTTTTGCATTTTTGAAAGTTGAAAAAACGAACTCCTCTCAGTTTCCTCAATTATGGGCGCTGCATGCTTCATACAACATGTAGAATTCAAATTTATACTATATCATCTCTTACCTTCCTAATCGTTTAGCTGATTATCTTCATATTCTAGTAGCTCACATTAGGATCAACATACAACTGAAGATACTTGTTATTGATATTCAGAAGAGTATTTTTCACATAAATGTTTCCTTGTGTGGATGTGTTACTTCTTGTCTCCATTTTTGTTCCTCTACTTGTGAGGGAACGTCCTAACTGTAAATGGCGAGTTGGTTGACTGCAATACGAAGTGGAGCAGACAAGCCCTCTCTTGTGGGATTTTGGTAGCATAACATCATCAAATCATTAACCTTTGGACTTCTTTTCTTCTTCTTTTCTTTTATGACCATTGGATATATCCAATATTTATGGATATCTTAATTTAATTTAACTGTAAATATAATCAGGTGTAATATCTTATGACTGTCACCCACTACCAAAACATTACACCTCCAACTTTGTGTGTTCTGTTAAGATGATATATTAACATTTATGCATAGCTTAGTTTAAGTCAACAGTAATAACATAAGGTTCATGTGTAGTGTCTATTATCCAAAGAGGCATTAAGAGGGAGGTGTTACGCTGGTCTTTTTCTTTTTTGCTTATTTATTTAAAATGTCGACCCTCTTACTGCTGTTTGATGTATCACACTTGTCAATTATCGGTTCTGCGTTATAACTATTAAGATGGCAGTTATTGTTTCTTGGATGTCTTTCAGACTGAAAGTGCTGAACTTCTTCCTTATACGTAATCCCTAAACACGTGATATATTGCACCTAACTTAACTTCTTCCTTATACATAATCCCTAAACGTGTGATGTATTGCACCTAACTGTTGCATGAAACTTTTGCCTGATGTACTCTGTTACTTTAGGAAATGACTTTATCTGGGATATGTGAAGAAGTTATCAGTTGTTATTTTAAGAAGTTTTTTCTTTACTTGTTTTTGTGATTAGGAGATATCAGATATTTTTCTCAGGAGGTGATCACTCTTGTTGGCTGGATAGGAAAAAAACCTTTTTCGCAATTGTCTATTATGTATTCCGTAGATACTAGATTAAGGTAGTTCATATGCTTTGTTTAAATTTCTTAACCAATCAGTTCATGAATTTAACATTTTTCATCAAGAATATGTCCTCTCTTTGTGTCAACTACCGAAGAAAAGAATCTTAGATATAATGATTTTACCATTGGGGTCGGTTGCATAACTTTATTTACGCATGTTATTAGAGATCAGATGTTTGCCGTTAATTCATGGAGTAATAAAAAATATGGGTTAATTGCAAACAGACCCCTGTGGTATCGTCTAATAGCCAATAGCAGATAGACCCCTAGTAGTTCTATTTGTGTGGATTGTTTTTTTTTTAATAAATAGAAGAGTGAAAAAAGTTTCAAGGAGGCAGAAAGACCCCTTGTAGTCCTATTGGCAAGGGCAGGCCCCTAATTGCTTTTTTTCTCTTCTTCTTCCCTTTTTGGCTCTTGAAAGAGTTGAAACAATCGGAGAGGGGGTCTATTTGCACTTGGACAAATACTATAGGGGGTAATTTGAACTAAGGGGGTCTATCTGCAATTGGATGATACTACAGGGGAGTTATTCGCAATCATCCCTACAAATATCATAGCAGTTTCACTCAATGTCGAATCCAAATGTTCGCTTTTGGTTTCCCATTCTCAAAAAAAAAACTTTGTTTTTCTCCTGTTGTCCAGATTCATCAAGGCGGATGCTTCTATTTTGTCTTGGAATCAATGTGGGTCTAATATCTACCATCATATCAAACAAAAGAGAAATAGAGACGCTAAATAGCATGCTGAAGCACAGTGAAAACTTGGTTCAAGATTTGCAGGAAGAGTTAGACATGAAAGATTCACTGACAGTGAAGGAACTGCACAACGAAGCTTTTGAAAGCCAAAGACTAGATAGCAATCATGCCAACATTGAAGATTCTATCAACTTATTACAGACTGAGGCTCCAGCATCCTGGTTTTCTGAGAATACTGATGATAGTGTCAATCCCCATTTATCCAAATCTGTAGAAATCTCCGAGTTGAGTAGAATTGAAGCAGAGTTGGAGGCTGAACTGGAGAGGTTGGAACTGAACATAAATGCCTCTAGTCTGGAGAGACAAATGTCTGCTCTTAGTGAGGTAAATCCAAAACTGTTAAAATTTGAAATATATCGGCACATTTTTGTTTAATTAATTTTGCTCATTCTTTTAGTTTGTCTCCAATATATTTGGCCCCTTCTCATTGATTTTGGATAGAAACTTCACACAGATGATCACTCTCTTAAAAACTCAGATTCAAAAAGCATTAGTTGTCATTAGTTGAACATAACATGGAATTGTCAAAAAAAACATGGTGTAGTCACTTTTGTGAGATAGATCACGAAAATTTAAATTTCTAGTATGATATCAATTTTTCGATTCCATACTTTTGGGGATTATTTTGATTATATCCTGTTCAAACATCCCACCTACCGCGATTTTAAATTTGGAAATCAGCAAAACTGCAATTGTGATTTAATTATCCAAATGCTCATATCCAGAAATTGGACTTTGCCTGGATTGGTACCCGAGTACCTTTCTGTGGAAATGCTGTATGCTCATATCTGCAGCCAATACATCTCTCAGATTTTCCTTTTTTCCCCCTTTTATCTTGTAACCACTCATGGACAGAAATTAGAGGAGAGAATCGTTGATCCCTAGATTTGTTTCCCTACATTATATGTGCATCATCATGCTACAGCAAGAAGTACAATCTGGATTAATACAAAGTTACCTGTTGTGCTATGTTGTCCAGCTTATATGGGGCTTTTAGTCTAAACTCAATTATTGCAATATCTCATATACCCTCTCTTTCGCTCGAGACTAAATATAGCATGCCCACTCTTGTAATTATATTATTATTATTTTTTTTTGTTTTTGGGGGGGGGTGGGTGGGGGGGTGGTGGGTGGTAGGGATTAGGGTTAGGCCGCTCATTACCTCTTAAAACTATTTCTTAGTATGCTGCAACTCCTGAATTTCATGCAGCCGATAAATTAAGCTGAGATGTATGTGACGATTATACTTCGAGCTTTCACCTTCAGTTTCATTACAAGCAAAACGCCGACCATTATTCCTCTAATTTGGTCCTGAAAATCAAGAGGCATAACGTGCTATAAGATAGTGTAGGATATAATAGCGCGACATACACGCATAGTACCCCCCCCACCCCCCCCCTCCCTCAAGCAGCAGTCTTTTTCCATAGGGCGAAGTTCATAATATTTGAATTTCTGATTGCAGCTAGATCCAGACTTTATAGCTGATGTAGTTCATGGAGAACTGAGAGTTGATATGCTTGATGACGGCACTCAAGAGGGCAACAGAGACAGCCACAGCTCCTTCACAACCGAAACCCACAATGTGAACTATGCAGTCTCACCTAGGGAACTCAGCTTACGACTCCATGAAGTCATTCAATGTAGACTTGAAGAACGAATCAAAGAGCTTGAAAGTGCACTTCACCATAGCCAGAAGCAACTCGAGTTCATGAGATCAGAGCAGGTTTTTGAAATGACTTCTTATTCCGACGTAGAAAGCCCAACACGTTACGATCAAGGTGATATATTGGTTGAACCGTTGCATTTGGACTTAGCTGGGGATGCATTGGCTGCTTATGGTGAAGCTTATGAGGAGTTCATAAAGGCCAGCGAAGAGCGCATAGATAACGGGAGTTCTGTGGGAGAGAGTAGGGATTTTAGGAGTAGGGAGTATAATGATGTTGTTGAGAGCAGTGAGAGCGATGATGAGGAAGGAAAAGTACTGATTCAACGGATATTGGAGAGGACAAAGAAAGGTTATCCTGATGTAGTAATGCATGCTTAAAGGATGCTTTCTGCAATGGATGTATAATTTTTATGATTTTGGTTGTTGGCAAGTTTTGTGGTGGCTTCAAAATTTTCAGAATCCAACTAGCACATGTAATTTCGGATCACATCCGTACTTGATCTAAATGACAAAACTCTTTGGATTTTACAGACTTCACCTACAGAGTGCTTGCTGCAATTCTGAAGAGTTGATCTTAAATTAAAAATGATTTAAAAATAGGAAAACTGTTATTGTTGCAAAAATGAATAGTGCTCCACCAACAGAAGTCTGAGCATTTTAGAAAAGAGAGAGAGAGTACCAACAAACGCAAATTTCGCGGTAAGATTTCCAATTGCTATGTCATTAAACAAACTTACGAATATATAAAAATGGATGACATACTAACATTACTTGGGAATTAAAGAATGATGTAAGATTCTAATACCAAAACAAAACAAAGGTACCAAGCTCAATTGTAGCCATTTTACAAATGGACTAATTAACACCTTTTATGGTCATTGTTCAAAGACGCGCAACACTGAATTGAGAAACGACAAGAAAACAAAATACAACAACCCACACTACTCCCAACTCGTATGCTACTCAAGATTGAGTTTCGTTGCGTATGATGCAATTACTGCCTGTCAGCATACTCATCATCACCCTTGAACTGGTCATCCTGGCCAGCGCTAGCATAACTGTTGTTCGTATTACCATCAGCATTACCACCATAGCCACCACCAACTCCGGCACTGTCGCT